GAACAGGTTCTCTAGTAGAGGATGGGGTGAAGAGAAAGCGGGAAGAAAGAAGATAGAAGAGACATCCCCCTTTAGACACTTCACAGGCTGGGTTTTAGTAGTGTGGATATTTAAATTGTTTAACCTATTCCTTTTTATAATAATATATATATATATATATAAAAAAACTAATTGGGTTGGAGGTAATGCAACATCATTTACTCACTGTCTGTTTTTATAATTTGTAGCTGAACAGCTTACAAAATGGAGGGCTAAAACACAGGGCATCTCTAGTGTTCTAATCAGTCAGCTTTTCTGTCTTATTCCTACATATAAAGAAGTGTTGTTGGAAGAAATGGTCTTCACAAGTTCAAGACATGTTTGAGAATTTGTAGCAAGTTCATACTGATTACCTGTAACAGTTTACATTCCCTGGTGTCTTGGAATGCGGGGTACATATCACAATACTTTCCTACTGCCCTCTGTGCCTCCACAATGTCTATACACATGTGACAAAGAGCTGCCTTGAAGAAATACTCTTTAGCACTGTACTTGAGTAATGAACTTTCAATAGCATCAGCAGCAACCTATAAATTACAACCAAAATGAGTGTTGGCAGCTCAAAATATTACAGAATTATTACACAATGCTACCCATGTACCTTTTGTAGGTCAATTTGTTCTGTAGGTCAGAATGATTTCAACCTAGATTAATTTGTGTCAAAGGGGAAGCAGGAGTCCAACAAATTTGTGCAAATTTGCAATGATTTCTTGTGTGGCCTAGTGGAGATGAGGGTGGACTACAAAGTCAGAGATCAGTTGTTAAACTCTATTAGGTTAGGGTTAGTGTCTGTGTTAGAGGAAGGGGCGGATATCAGGGATCATGGCACGGCAGGGCAGCATCGGCAGGGGTAATTTGCAGAATGCCAAATGCACTGTTTGCTTGCGGTTAGTTTCGGTTAGGAACTGAGGGGACTGGGTGGTGTGCATGTTATTCTTTTTAGGAATTCCCCAAAATGCAAAAAACATTTAACCTCGGTTGGAACAAATTAATCTAGCCTAGGTTGAGATCATTCTCACCAAAAGAACAAATTGACCTACAAACATACAGTGCGTATACCTGAGATTTTTGTTAGCCAAACTTACTATCTTCAGATCTAACCTTAGACATCTTGAATGTGCTAACCCATTAAGTGTAAAGCCACAAAATTAAATCACCAAAACAAACTACACTATAAACTGACATGGTATCCACAGCCTCATGCAAGTAAACAAACAACATGATATTTAACCTTGGTACAAGCTTTTAACTGCCTGCTTAGTAACAGGCTTGAGATATGAACAGATTGCCATATTTGATCTTAAAATTACTTGGAAAGACATTGTAGGGAGAACTCAGATTCTGATCACTATTAGGTATAAATTAATGCAGTAAATCAAGCATTACCAACTTGCAGTTCAACAAATGGTATTGGTGGGATACAAGTTCAAGTTTTTAAATAAAATTCCAACCTGTTCATAAATCTCAAGAGCCTTGGC